ATACCAGATGTATCGCCACTCTTTGTAGTTATACCAGATGTATCGCCACTCTTTGTAGTTATACCAGATGTATCGCCACTCTTTGTAGCTATACCAGATGTATCGCCACTCCTTTAAGATTCGTTTTCTGAAAAGTAAGTCAAGATTAGTGTTACGGTTATTTGTAACATTAAATGACATTTTGACCATCATATTTGTTTATATGAACTGAAACTCGGTAATTAATTTGAGTGCTTAAAATGAAAAATGTGATAGGTAATTCATTAGCGGTCCCTTTTTTCTAAGAGTTTCTAACGTAATGTAAGTAAGAACATTAAAATCCAAATTCAGGACTTACCTAGGTAATATCTTTCTAGGTAACCTGTGCTTGTAAACATAGTTTTAGAATATCGATTAACAATAGGGCGAAAGTTTCTTGCTCCATTAAATTGTGCTGATCTGGTATTTAGGAACAATGACACGTTTTTAAGATATTGTATAAAATATTTGTTTTTGAATATAATTAATATTAACTTCCGATCAGAGTAAGTAATCGCTTTGGATCATGCTGAATCTCTTCGACACTATGCCAATAATATTTCGTCTTTTAACAAGATCCTTTGAACACGTTTTTATCATTCTTATTCAAAATAATTTACTTTTTAACAAATCATTCGAGTGTATACATATATATATATTTATATTAATTTGTAACAGTACCTTGTAACGAATTCCAATAAAGTACCTTGGTGATCTTATTTAAATATCCCCACAATGTTGTTTGCATTTATAAGTATAATAAAAATTACATGTAACTGTATGAACTATAAGAGAAACCATTTTTAATCTTACTTTTTAATAAGGAGAGATAGCATCTGCCTTTTGCGGCTAAAACTCTTGTTTGATCGTTTTGCAACATTCTCGGCCCCAGTGGCGACATCAAAGAGAAGCGAGGAGTGGACGGACATATTCCCATAAATAGTTGCTAAAAAATATAGTAAAAACTACATATATCAAAATACAGTGTCGTTAATTACTATAGGCAACTCAACATAGGAAAAATTCATCCAACAGAACATTACCAATCCCTGTTATCTTTGCAGCCAATCGCAGTAAAACATTTTCTAAGCTACACAGTTTGATTTCAGTGTGAGCACATTAATCTAGCGAGAAAATTGATCCTTGAAACAGTGGGCCGTGACAACCGCTAAAGAAAGGGGCTTATGATTTTAAACGAAACTGTTCTCTAACTTTTTAATGTATTTCCTTATATATATATATAT